AGAAATCTCATGACGAAATAGAGCTGGATCGCATAGCCATAACTTCTTCAAGGAAGTTTTGCAAAGATAACTGAACACCAAGGCAAACACAAGGTTCTTTAATTCTAAGGTACTACTATCTTTACGATGCGAATGGTGCCGAAGGTGCGGGATGAGCAGTCGGCAGTGCGAAAGAAGGTGATGGAATAGCGAGTGCTGGGGATTTCAGTCAATGACCGTATCCGGAACAGACTCATAAGGTGTCGGAATCAGATGGGAGATGGGATCATCGGTGGTGAACTGAAGTTTTCTGGACCGGTCGTGAGATCGCAGCATACCTCATAGAATGTAGGGAAATTGCATTACAATAGTCAAAGACACAGGAAGACGCAGAAGTGTATGAAGGGAAGGATTGCTGGGAAATGTTTCACTCGAGCACTAGGTAGAGAATAAATTGCGGAACAGCTACACAGGCATCTTGGTTTGGTGAATGTTATATTATTTGTGATATTCATTTCTTAGATTCCGTTTTGCCTCGCAGCCAATGTTCCGTCATTTGTTTCGTACCCATTGTCGTGATCAGTCTACTGTACAGCTGGCCATCACTGACTGTAGGGGCAACTGTTTTTCTTTCAGTTATTAAGCCAGAGATCAAGCTTCGTATCCACCAGCGAGTAGGGTCATTTCCTCATTGTTCTTCTGCCCGACATTCATGTGCATCAAGTAGTTCACCAGGATCTTGAAAACAGAGGAGAACGATAAGCGAAACGCTCAACTTCTGTGGTGATGCTGAACCAGTCTGACAGTGGCCCTTCAGTGCTGAAGTGTATTTTAACCCTTCATATATAGTTTTATCTCAAGTTCATTGCCTGTTAAATTTCAAGTTTTGAATGGCACGTCACATTGTCTGACGATGACCTAAATAGAAGGCTGACAAGTTATAAGGCAGTTACAAGGTGATGTGCTATTTGATAATTCGTTTGAGCACAGAGGTCTCCGCACATGCGTGTCCGCTCTGAAGGTCTGCTTGAGTTGTTCTCGGCAAATGGCCTCTTTTCCTTATTCAGGAATGATTTAAGACAGGTGTTGAATCATGCTGATGTAGTTATAGCTTCTGCAAGTGGTATGATTGGAGTCTGAAGAGTTTGAAACAACTTCGAAGATTGGTTGTGATCCTCAGCTCATTTTGCCCATTTGTTTTGCTTCGCTGAGTCAACTTTTATGACATGCGTGAGAAATGTGTTCACTGTTCGCCGTTTGGAAAATTTATCGACAATCACACAAATAAGATTATTTACTTATTCGCTATTTCACATTGTTTTCGTTGTCACTCATTGTTGGTCCATTTCTGTTCAACTATTCAGGAGCCGTTCACCTTTGCACAAGCGTAGTATGATTCAGATCGAATGATATCGTAGATGTTTGATTGTTATTTACTCGTTTTTTAATAAAAGTGTAATGCAGTATGCACTGATAGTAACAAAGGAGACAATAATCCTTCTGTTACTTTATTAGGACTGAATTAAGCCAAAAAGTGCATTAATAAAGAGGGTGAATTTTACATTTGATTAAAAATAATTTTTAGACCACGTATACTTGGTCAGTCACAATGACCAAGTCACTAGTCACTGTCCAGTATAGTTAATTATGAAACATGTGTCAATTCTTCTTGTTTAAACTGTGTTTAGCGCAGTATCTGTTAATCCAGTGATGAAGGCAATAAAATCTTGAAAATTAAGCCACTTTATTGCTTTAATATAGGTAAATTTAGAACGATGAAATGTCTCCAGAAGAGAAAAGTGCCATCTTTAAAAAAACCATGCGATTCTCTGAAGAAAAGTTTCTTGAATTTCTGAACGATTTAGAATCTGCTCAGAAACAGTTGAAAGTGTTACAAGAAAAGAAGCATTAGAGCTGGTAGATTTTGTCGTAGTTCGTTCATGTCTGTTTCCTTGTCGATTCGTTCTGTGACGTACCGAATCCTCAGCCATCACCAGAAGCTGTTTCGGTTTTCGAAGGCTTTTGCTTCAGACAAGCGTTCAGATACTAATGTGTTTGATCGGCTTACGAAACGACGTCAGCGGAACTGGGCCGCCTCGCAAAGTGACCATTCCGTCTATGACTACCTGAAAGAGGAAGTGGCGTATCGAGTTTCTGACCGCATTTATGACGTGAAGAAATTCATGAATGTTGGTGTTGATTTGGGATGCGGTTTCGGCTATATCGCTCCCCACATTTACAAGGTGAGCGTTGTATAAAAGGCGTTGTTTTCTGTCGCTTCTGATTGTTTACGTTTGATGCGCGAATTTGATCAGTAATTATGGATTGCAATGCTGGGCATACAAAATGCATTTTTACACTGACGTCATTTGTTTCATTTTATAATCTTAATGATATTGATCTATGATTTTTTAATATTCTATTTTTGTACAAGATGATGTTGGTTGAATGGGTGGTTGCAGATGATACCACAGTCTCACATGCCACGTCGAGTTGTTTTTGTTTTTAACATTTTAACTGTAGAGCGGGTTTCTCATTGCAAAGTCACATGGAAAGTAGCCGTCCAAAGCTTTTACCGCTGGCAGATATCCCGAAGAGTATATCGAATACGTGTTATTGGTACACTTCAAATTTTGTTTCACGAAGTTTTCCTGTCTGACAGAAAACTTGCACCATTGGTAAAAAGCGTTTAACCTGTTCAGGTTGCTCTCTCGCAACCTAAATTTACCAACAATCTCTGAAAATGCTTTATTGCACGGGCAAGCAGCATAAGTAGTGTAAAGGGCTAATGTTTCCCCTTAGCTTCTCCAAGGAACGATAATTGTCATTTGCCCTCACTTCGGCATTTCCTCTGTCCCATATTACATGATACTGACGTTACTTTGACCACCGATACGCATAGTAGTACATTTTTTATGTCGATTACGCACGTGATTTACTATTACAGTTTTTGGTAGACAATAGGTGATTAGTTATGAAATTTGTAGACTGGTATACTCTTTAATCGACTGCGAACAGATATTTTATTTATTTGGTCGTCTCATTCCCAAGTTGGGCAAGGTTATGTCATTTTACTTTTGCTATTTTTTCTCATAATATTTCGATATTAGTAAATTCCCACTTCAGTGGTTTTTTATATATTCATAAACCGCAGATGATCTTGGTGATTATAACAACCGCCGTTTCAAGAAACTACCTTTCCTATCCTCAGGGCAAACAATTGTTCGTCCTGAGGATGGCCCCTGTAGCTTAGCTGGTACTGCTGCAGTTATAAAGAAGACTGCCATTAGTCCGTTTCGTTGTATCTAGAATCATTGAAATGGCAATTTACTGAAGGTACGGAAAGCACAAAATTGTGATATATTTCAGAAATGTGATATTTTAAGGGTTCTTGTTGCTCCTTCTTTGATTCTTTGATGCACTGTGATATGATCAGCAATTGACACATTTTACCACTATGTTTTTCAGCAATTCTTTTGCGAAAGGAAGTGAAAGTTTTAGCATAGACTTGGCGCGTTTGCTTCATAGACATTCAGAAGAGAAAAGATTTTTTCCACAGCCTAGTCTTTTCTACTGTGCTCTCTGTTGATGTTCATTGATTTCGTATTTGCATTTTCAAAGTTTTTTCTGTTGCTTATGTTCTATTGATTGCTCAGTTATGTTTGCCATCTTTTAGGAACATGTTGGGTGTTTCATTCAAGCTGATATGAGTGAAAATATGGTTGTTGCCAGTCGCCGGTCAGAAGAAGTTAACACGTTTCGGTAGCGTCCCTTGCATTGGTCGCATAATGCTATGTCAGCAAATTTCAGTGTTGTAGGCGATGAGGAGACGGTTCCGTTTAGAAATAACTTTGCAGACCTGATCGTTTCCGCCAACAGCATGCATTGGATCAACGATTTACCCGGTGAATAGTGATATTTCGTTGCTACTGGTTTGTTTTAGCTTTGTTTAGGATTCCTTCGAGGAATTTTCAGTGCTCTCCGGGAGGACGGCGTTTTCATTGGCGGAATTTTTGGAGGCGATACTTTGTTTCAGCTTCGGTGTTCTGTTCAGTTGGCAGAGATGGAACGTCTTGGAGGACTTGCACCACACGTATCTCCCTTTGTTACGGTAATATTTTCAGTTATTAATATTTGCCACAATAAGCTAATTTCGGGCAAAAGTCTTGTATGTGTAAATTGACCGTTTCTTTCCGTGTTAAAAGTTAATCTCGGTATTATGGTTCTACTAAGGAACTGCTAGTTTTCGATAACAATATCCTGTCATCTCTTCAGATTTGCACGACGTATACACTGTCCCATCGCTTCTAATAGCCTAAGGGACCGTTAGAGCAGGTCAAGGCTCCATGGGCCTTGAGCGCCTATAGTGCACTGGCGCAAAACCGCGCCACTTTCTTCGGTGGAGCAAACACCTGTTCGAACTCCAGCGAAAGTGGTTCGATCCATAGTCATATATGATAAAAGGTAACTTCGGTGTATGGGTTTACTAGCAAACTGCTATTTTTTAATACCACAGGTAAGAAAAACAATCACCTGTCACTTCTCCAGATTTACATCGCGTAGTTGCACTGTCCTATTACTCATAGTAGGCTAATCCACCGTTAAAGTATGGCTAAAATGTCCATGAGAAGTGGTCTGCTTGGGCACTTTCTTGTAGGCTACTAGAAGCAAGCGAACGATAAGACTGCTCCGTGGAATCCGGAGATGTAACAGGGTTTTTATTCTTGATAGACTATTGTTGTTCTTTCCTGTGGTGCAAGCAGTTTAATAGTTAACTCATAGCGCGTGCCTACAAATCGAAGTTTCTCCGTTGATGTCCGTATTGATATTTGTTCAACCCAGCAAAGTGGCGCGATTTTACACAGATGCACCGTGCGTGATAAAATAACATGGAGTGTTTGCTTGCTGAAGCTGTCCCTTAGGCTACTGGAAGCAAGACCATTACGACAATGCCATGTGGATTTAGGGAAGTGACGCGAGAATTTTTTTGTTTATACACAAAAATAAAACCTGATCTTATGGGTTTACGCGCATGCTGCTAGTTATCGATATCGCCGCTAAGAAATTTAACCCTTTTTAGTTTTCGATACCTGATTAAAGCGGCATAAGCACTGCCCCCTTGCTTCTCGTCACCTAGGGGACCATTGATACTTATGCCGCTTCAATCCGGTTTCAAAAACTCAAAAGGATTAAATATCTTAGCGGCGATATCGATAACTAGCAGTATGCTAGTAAACCCATAAGATCAGGTTTTATTTTTTTCTGTTAATATGCCTACGGATAGTGACATATTTGCGGTTATCCCAACAGGAATTTGTTCGGCCCTGCATAGTGATGCGGTTCTGAATCCATGCACTGCAGGTGCTCAAATACCGTGGAGCCGTAGCTTGCTTAAATGGTCCCCAAGGTGACTAGAAGCTAGGGGACGGTGCTTACGCCGCTTTAGTCCGGTATCAGAAACTAAAAAGGATTAAGTTTCCATTTGTTAGTGTATTTTTATTTCCGTTTTTCCGTAGTGACTATCAGTACATTTAGCCTGAAGATGTCTCGAACCTAATGCAGAACACTGGGTTCGGACTCATCACGATAGATGTTGACGAAATTATTGTCAATTATCCGGATGTATTTGCACTTATGTATGATCTGAAGGGCATGGCTGAAAGTGCAGCTGCGTGGATACGGGCAAAGACGATCCGCAGGGATGTGCTTAATGCTGCCGCGGCGATTTACCGGGTAAATATGACCGAAAATGATTGACATGTCTGAAATTTTTATTTACCATTGTTTCAGTACATGTACGGCAACGATGGAAAAATTCCTGCCACTTTCCAGGTTATTTACATGATTGGCTGGAAACCGGGTTCTAACATGCCTAAGCCGGCAAAGCGTGGC